GGTGGGGTAAGGGTGAGGGCAGGTGTCTAAGAGTGACAGAGATGAATAGTTCTGACTCCCCCGAGACTATCCAGGTATCACAGCTGGGCCTGTTCTCAAGCTCCTGGGAAAAGAATGGGGAGAAAGATCCTGCAACAGGAGTTAGGAGGAAGCCCCAACTTTTTCTTGATTCACCCCAACTTAGGCTCAGCCCTCCCTTGAGTCCCAATCACCATCTTAAACATGTCAAGCCAGAAAATCTGCAATTTCCCTTCTTTTCTACCCCTCTTCTTTTTTCTTCGCAACATGTATTTACAGAGTGCCTTCCACGTGCCAGGAGCAGTGCTAAGTGCTGGGGATAGAGTGGTGAATTAGAGAAGCACCTTGTTTTAATGGAGCTTAGATTTTAGTGGGGTAATCAGATACTGAAAAGGGACACACACAGGACAGCTGAAGAGAGCGTTACATTCTACAAAACAAACAATAACACGCAGTGTACTGGCTTGGATAGTGTCCTTCCCAGATTCAAGTCCTTCCCAGAACCTCAGCGTGTGATCTGATTTGAAAACATGGCCATTGCTGATGCTGAAGTTTCATCTCATGCTTGAGTGAGGTGGACTCTTAATCCAATACGACTAGTGTCCTTCTAAGAAGAGAAAAGATACAGGCACTGTGACCCGAGGGAGAAGACAACCACCTGAAGACAGAGGCAGAGATTGGAGTGATACGGCTATAATCCAAGGAATGCAAGGGGTTGCTGGCAGCCCCCAGAAACTGAGAGGGGGTGAGAAAGGCTTCTCCCCTAGCGACTTCAGAAGGACTAGCGCACTGTCGATACCTTGATTTCAGATTCTAGCCTCCAGAACTGCAAGAGAGTAAACCTCTGTTTCTTGTTTTGTTTTTTTGTTTTTGTTTTTGTTTTGTTTGTTTGTTTTTTGAGGCGGAGTCTCGCTCTATCGCCCAGGCTGGAGTGCGGTGGCCGGATCTCAACTCACTGCAAGCTCCGCCTCCCGGGTTTACGCCATTCTCCTGCCTCAGCCTCTCGAGTAACTGGGACTACAGGCGCCTGCCACCACGCCCGGCTAGTTTTTTGTATTTTTTTTTAGTAGAGATGGGGTAAACCTCTGTTGTTTGAAGCCACCCAGTTTGTGGTAATTTCTTATAGCAGCTCTGGGAAACAAATGTCCGAGGTGACGTGAGAAGAGGCAGGAGGGCTGTGGCTTTAGATAAATGGTACAATCACAGGAGGCATTTGTGAGGAGGTAACAATTTAGTGGAAGTGGAACAAGTCACAGATAACCTGGGGGAAGTGTATTTTAGAGTTGCTATGTCCAATGCAGTAGCCACTAGCCATATGTGGCCATGGAGCCCTTGAAATGCAACTGGTCCAAACTGAGATAGGCCGAACATGTAAAATACACACCAGATTTCAAAGGCTTGCGAAGAACAGAAATAATGTAAAATATCTTTATTTTATTTTATTTTATTTTTTTTGAGACAGAACCTTGCTCTGTTGCCCAGGCTGGAGTGCAGTGGCATGATCTTGGCTCACTGCACCATCCACCTCCCAGGTTCAAGCAATTCTCCTGCCTCAGTCTCCTGAGTAGAGTAGCTGGGACTACAGGCTCCCGCCACCATGCCCAGCTAATTTTTGTATTTTTAGTAGAGACAGGGTTTCACCATGTTGGCCAGGCTGGTCTCGAACTCCTGACATCAAGTGATCCATCCACCTCGGCTTCCCAAAGTGCTGGGATTACAGATGTAAGCCACTGCACCTGGCCTCTTTTAATTAATTTTAAAATATTGATTACACATGGAGATGATTGCATGATGAGTTAGTCTACTTGCATTGCTATAAAGGAATACCTGAGACTGGGTAATTTATCAAGAAATGAGGTTTATTTTGGCTCATGGTTCTACAAACTGTCCAGAAAGCATGGTATCAACATCTGCTTCTGGTGAGGGCTGCAGGAAGATTACAATCATGGTGGAAGGCAAAGGGGGAGCAAGCACATCAGAGGGTGAGAGAAAAAGCAGTAAAGCGAGGAAGTTCCAGGCTCTTGGGTTTTTTTTTTTTTTTTTTTTTTTTTTTTTTTTTTGAGATGGAGTTTCACTCTTGTTGCCCAGGCTGGGGTGCAATGGCACGATCTCGCCTCACTGCAACCTCTGCCTCCTGGGTTCAAGCAATTCTCCTGCCTCAGCCTCCCAAGTAGCTGGGATTACAGGCGCCTGCCACCATGCCTGGCTTTTTGTATTTTTAGTAGAGACGGGGTTTCACCATGTTGACTGGGCTGGTCTCAAACTCCTGACCTCAGGTGTTCCACCCACCTCGGCCTCCCAAAGTGTTGAGATTACAGGCATGAGCCACTGTGCCTGGCCCCTGGCTCTTTTAAACAACCAGATCTCGTGTGAACTCGTAGAGTGAGAACTCATTCATTACCACAAGGATGGCACCAAGCCATTCATGAGGGATCCACCCCTATGACCCAAACGCCTTCCACCAGGCCCCACTTCTGACACTGGGGATTACATTTCAACGTGAGATTTGGTGGGGACAAACATCCAAACAGTATTAAATGAGTCATCTATTGAATGTCACTCTTTGGGGTGAACAAGGGAGGAGGATGCAAAGAGGAACAAGACATGGGTCCTAGCCTCAAGGAGAGGGGCCATCTGGATATATTGGGTTAAATAAAGTAGGCTATTAATATTTATTTTACTTTTTACTTTTCTAAATGTGGGAACTAGAAGATTTTGGCCAATGAAATATGAGCAAATTTTTACATTTATGGCTCATATTATATTTCTACTGCATGGTGTTATTCTAAACAGATGATAAAGCAGATGCAAAGGCCCTGTGGTAGGGACTGAGCTTCCTGTGTCTGGTGGTTCTGTACTCAGTCTGCATGTTGATACTTACTTGCTAATGTCACTAGACCTGGAGAGGTGATGTGGGAAGCCCTGTTGAACTTACATGGAGGAGTCTATGAATCTGTGTCCTTTCTTCTCAAGCAGAGAGCAAGGTCATGAAATTCAGCCCTTCAGACTGATGCCTCCTTCTTACTTACCAATCTCACATGCTCCTTTAGACCTCAGATGGAGAAAGAAGACAGCCCCAAACTTCCTGCTTAGTATGTCGATTTCACTGTCTCCCTAAGCTCAACAGTGTCAAGGACATGGAGCTAGGCCTAACTCCGGAAACCTCCTTGTGTGCTGATGGCTGGCACCAAGGCCATGGTATTACAGTATAGAGCAGAGACTCCCCAAACCCACAGCTTGCAACGTGAATAGAAGGACCAGGTTAGTTCATTTATTAAGCTAGAATTGTGTTCTTCTAAGACAGAGTTTACAAAACGGCATCTTGGGGCTAACTCCCACATGTTTTGTTTGCATGATTTCACAATTCTTTTTAGGTGTGATTTAATTGCTGTATCAGTCAGGTTGGGCTGGGCTTTGCTGCAGTAACAAATAAGCCTCATATCTTCATGGCTGGTAATCACCCAGTCTATATGTTGTTTGCTATGGCATTACTCCATGCCTTCTGCACTTCAGGATCCAGGCTGACAGAATAGCTTCCATCTGGAGTGTTGCTGAATGCCATGACCAAGGGCAAAAGGGCACGGCATACCACAGACTGGCTCTTGAAGTTTCTATTTGGAAGCGACCCATGCTACTTCTGCTGATATTTCATTGGCCAAAGGAATCGTGTAACCATGCTTGAAGTCAAGAGGGCAGGGATGCATATGCCCCCCTGCAGGGAGGGGCACTCTATGGGTCATCTACTGTGCATCTCTTCAAATCCTTTTAGCCCCACCTTCTGTTCCAGCCACTGCTTCAACAAGCCTTGAGCAGGGCTAGCCTGACAGTACCCACTACATACCTCTTACTTTTCTGATACAGTGCCCTGGGTACCAGCAGGAACCTGTGAGCACTCACACACATGCCACCAGCAAGTACAGAGAAATTAACACCTGTGGGGCCATCTTTAGCCAAAGGGGAGGGCATGGATGACTAACTGTCCCCCTCCATTCTCAGGTCAGGCAGTTCTGACACGCCAGCACCTAGAGCAGCACTCACTCCAATTACCCATCCTTACCCATCCTTCCATGGCTTCCCTCTCATCCCTGTCTCACTCCCTGGGCCTGCACTCACTCCCAGGGATCATTTCCCCAGTAAACCACCTGCATGTAAGCATTTGCCTGGGGACCTACTATGGAGGGAAACCAAGCTGAGACAGACAGGAAATTGGTGGACAGTAACACAATCTACCACTTTGCCCATATTGCAAAGTTAGAAAGTTTAATATAAAATTTCAATGTTAAGCTTTTCTTGATAAATCAGATCTGGCAGCACATAACTGAAATCCTGGCAAGTCCACAAGAGGCTGGACTTGAATAGGGGCAGTGACTTCCTTGAGATGGGACCCAAGCTCTTTGTTGACAACATTTGCTATCTGAGAGGGAAAGTCTTCACTTTTTTATGCTGTCTACCTGGCTCCAGGAGTCATTTATTTTTCTGGGTTTTTGTTGTTGTTTGTTTTAAATCTCTGTCATAGGAACTGTTGGCTTGAGCTAGATATCTATGAATCCTTGGAAATTTTTTTAAATTATTATATGGAGAACTTTCTCATTTTGGGGGGTTTTATTTACTTATTTTGTTTCTCTTTCTCTGTTTTATAACAAAAGGATCAATTAAAAAAGAAAAAAAAAAACTTAGACTGGTAGTGCCAGGCTGGCAGGGACAGCCTGTCTGGTCACCACTGTATTCTCAGTGGTATATAGTAGGTGCATAAAGAATCTTTGCTGAATGGATGACAAGATGAGTGACTGAAGTAGCCTGTTCCCAATATGATCCTGAGCTCCTGACTCTCATGTCCTTGTAGCACCTACTCTTTTTGAGTGTGGGCTAAACTTATTATTTGCCTCTAATGAAGCCATAGGATGCCACTTCTGAGATTAGGTTATAAAAAAGACTGTGGCTTCTGTCTTGGCCCTCTCTGACTCTCTCTCTAACGTCCACAGCTGTGATGCCACAAGAATACTCAGATAGCACATGGACAGGCCCACATGGCAATGAATTGCAACTTGCCAGCAACCATGTGGGTTAGCTTGAAGCAGATTCTCCAGTCCTGAGTCTTCAGGTGGCTGTAGCTCTGGCTGACCATGTGACTGAACCTGAGGAGAAACGCTGAGCCAAAGACACACAGATAAGCTGCACCTGGATTCCTGACCTACAGAAACTGTGAAGTAGTAAATGTTTGTTGTTCAAAGCCAAGGGTTGGCAAAATACATTCCACTTGTTTTTGTAAATAAAGTTTTATTGGACCTTGGTAATGTTCGTTAATGTGCCTATTGTTATGGCTGCTTTCATACTTCAACAGCAGTAGCTATTGAGTAGTTGCAGCAAAAGACTATATGGCCCACAGGTCTAAAATATTTACTATGTGGCCCTTTAAGGAAAAGTTTGTCTATCCCTGTTTTAAGCTGCTAAGTTTGGGAAAAATAGTTACCTAGCAATGGATGACGAATACAATAGCTTTCAAATCCAAAACATTGGTCCTAACTGGGCTTGCAGGTCTTGAGGTAGGGCATCTAATTTCAGTTTAGCTTTGTTTAATAGATATTAACTGAGCACCTACTGTGTGCCAGGCATGGTCTCAATCATATTCCAGAATGCCACATTCAGTTCTTTAGCTCCACTGTCCCCTCCAGCATTTTCTTGGTCTATGGCATGATTTGCCAAATATTTGTGGATTTAAGTTGGCTTTTAGAGACTGGAATTAGCAAGACATTCTTTGGAATGCAACAGATAACTCTGTAACCATGGGGAGGTGAGCAGGGAGCAGGAGGACATTTAGCTGGTATTTCCATGCAAAGTTCTGATAGTTGTTAAAAGATGGAAATGTTTCCATCCCACCCTATGGAAATAGAGGGCCCCAAAGGCCCTACCTCCAGTAAACAAAGGGGTCAGGTATAGCACAGCAGGGCCACCCACAATTCTGAAGGCCACTCTAATTGGTCAGTTCCCTTGCCATGCTAGTGATTAAATATTGGCACATGGTTCCAGGACAAATTTCTGGCTTGTCCAGCAGGGGTGCTCAGTAATGTTGCCTGCATGATGGAATTCATAGACATCTATTGAATATTTGCCCCTTTTTGGAGTGGACAGGGAAGAGGACGCAAAGAGGAACAAGATGTAGGTCCCATCCTCAAGGAGAGGGGCCGTCTGATTCTCTAAGTGTGTCTAATCCTCACTCGGCAGGAGGGTCTGAAGCCAGACCTTCAGGGTTGAAATCCGACCCCACTTCTTATCAGCTGGTTGACCTTGAGCCAGTGATTCAGGGCCCTGTGTGCCTCAGTTTCCTCCTCTGTGACAATAATGGTTCCTACCCCATAGCATTTTAGTAGGGATGTGCTAACAGTAATGCCTTATACCCGGTTAGCACTCAGAAAATGTTAGAAAAGGAATTATCACTGTCCAGGAGCCAAAAGAACATGCTCTGAGGGGGTCATAATAATATCAAGAAGTACATTAAGAAGAGTTGTCAGTTTTTTTGTTTTTTTTTCAATTGAGAAGGAGTCTTGCTCTTGTTGCCCAGGCTGGAGTGCAATGGTGCGATCTTGGCTCACTGCAACCTCTATCTCCTGGGTTCAAGAGATTCTCCTGCCTCAATCTCCCAAGTAGCTGGGATTACAGGCATGCGCCACCTGGCTAATTTTGTATTTTTAGTAGAAATGGGGTTTCACCATGTCAGTCAGGCTGGTCTCGAACTCCTGACCTCAGGTGATCCACCTGCCTTGGCCTCCCAAAGTGCTGGGATTACGGACATGAGCCACCGCGCCCATCCAGGAAGAGTCCATTGATCATGGACTAGATTCCTGGCTCTGGTCTAGGCTCCATGCAGGCAGACAAGGCTGGCTTCATAGGCATGTGGCCTGTGCAAGAGACCTTCCTTTGGTTTAATGCTCTGCTGTTGCCATCTTGAGATGCTAAAGAATTTTCGAACTAATGTCTTACAGTTTTATTTTGCACTGGGTCTCACAGATTATGCAATTGGTCCTGCTTATAGAAGTGGACATGGCAAACTTCTGATCATCAGGAGCTTTGCAAATCTGCCCGGGGGAGCCAATGTGCCCACCAATCTTTACATCACAGAGCTACAGGCATTCTGGTGGAACACCGGGCCTAAGGCTGGCTCCCATGCTTCTTGGTTGGGTTGAAGCAGCCAAAGAGACTTCCCTGAGGCCACAAAGGAAGCCACATCAAGGGCCTAGCGTGTCTTATACCACCATCAAAACCTGGAGAGGAAAACGGATAAGGAGATCAGGTCCCATGGTGCATCCGGTTAAGGGAATGCTGCTTGGATTTATTTTCTGCAAGAGGAGTAAGGCCTTGAATTCTGAAATACTTTTGAAACCTTTGGAAAATCCCCCTTTAATCACTGATGACAGGTTGACATTTTTCCAGCTGTTTAGAAGCAGTAGACAAGTCAAGTTGCTCGGCAGGGCACAGGCTGGCATGCTGGGATATGTGTGGGTTCTAACCTTCCCTTTCCCTGGTTCTTTGCAGCTTTGAGGAAAAAGAAGAGAAAAATAAACCAACCAAAACAAAAGCCAGGCTCTTGCAGTGTTCTTGCCAGTCTATGCCATCTGCATTTGGGGATTTGCTCCTGAAAGTAAAATCTTAATTGGGTAACATTTTCCTGCTTCTTCCCAGCTCATGGATTCACCTTTTCGGCAGCGTCCCACTACGGCAGCTTGTGTCTCTCTCTGTATTAAATCTACTTCTTGGTTGGGAGAATTGTTTTATTGGCTCATCAGGTGCCAGCATGAATCCTTTATTTCCCTCCATCCCCAATTCCACGTGTGATCAAGACCTGGGTGTGGAGTAGAATCCAGGTTCCACCACAAGCGAACCTGTTGGTTAAGGGTATGTGCTCAAATCCCAGCTCTGCTTCTCAGTCTCTGGGGGGCCTTGGGGAAGTGACTTGGCCTCACTGTGCTTCTGTTTCCCCATCTGTAAAATGCTATGAGAAGAATGACATGACTTCACACATGTAAAGCTCTTAGAACACATAATTAAGTGCATAGGCACATAATCATATATTTAACATTTTTTAATATATATATATGCATCTGGTTAAGGAAATGTGTGTGTGTGTGTGTGTGTATACGTATCTTGCTCTGTCACCCAGACTGGAGTGCAGTGGCACCATCTCAGCTCGCTGTAACCTCTGCTTCCCGGGTTCAAGAGATTCTCTTGCCTCAGCCTCCCAAGTAGCTGGGATTACAGGTGTGCGTCACCATGCCTGCCTAATTTTTGTATTTTCAGTAGAGACGGGGTTTCACCATGTTGGCCAGGCTGGTCTCAAACTCCCAATCTCAAGTGATCCTCCCACCTCAGCCTCCAAAAGTGCTGGGATTACAGGTGTGAGCCACTGCGCCCAGACTTAAACATATTTTAAAGGCATCTTTTCCATTTATTATTATGAATGGATATAGTACTACCTCCACCATCCTATTCCCCCATTGATAAAAGCTCACAGGTACATAACACCATGTTACAGGTGCAATTTTAAGCCTTTTAGAAATATTTCCAAGCTTAAATCTCAAAACAACCTTATGAGGCAGGGACTGTTCTTTCTCCCATTTTGTAGATGAAGAAAACTGAGGCACAGAGAAGTTAAATAACTTGTCTGAAGTCACACAGCTAGTAAGTGTCAGAGTCAAAGTTCATACTCAAAAATTCGGCCCCAGAGGCACCCCACTCTTAATCATGGTGCTCTGTTAACATGTATAACTTGTGCCTTGCTGGACATTTAGAGTTTTTTCTTTTTCAATAAAAATTTAAACTTCTTATTGAAGAACGCATGTGTATCAAAAGAATAGGATGGGCTGGGCACAATGGCTCATGTCTAGAACCCCAGTGCTTTAGGAGGCTGAGGCACGAGGGTAGCTCAAGCCCAGGAGTTAGAGACCAGCCTGGGCAACATAGTGAGACCCTATCTCTACCAAAAATCAAAAACTTAGCTAGGCGTGGTGGCACTTGCCTGTGCTTGGGAGGCTGAGGTAGGGGGATCCCTTGAAGCTGGAAAGTCAAGGCTGCAATGAGCTGTGATCACACCACTGCACTTCAGCCTGGGCAGCTAAGCCAGACCCTGTATCAAAAAAAAAAAAAAAAAAAAAAAAAGAGTGGAGAATGCATTCATTTTCACAAACTGAAAACACCCATGGAATCATCACGCAGCCTTCAACACAGATGATAACACCCCTCAGAAGCCCCTTGTGGTCACTCCCTCACCCCCAAAGGTAGCTGCTAGCCCCACCTCCAACAACAGAGATTCATGTTGCCTATTTTTGTACTTTATGAAAATGAAATCAAGAGGTATGCATTCTTTCATTTCTGGCATCTTTGGCTCAATGTTGTGTTTGTGATTTATCCGTATCGTTGCACACGGTTGTAGATTGTTTATTTTTATTACCACATAGTGTTCCACTTACAGTTTATCTTATCTATTCTACCATCGAGGGGCATTTGGGTAGTTTTTGTGAGTAACGCTGCTAGGAGCATTCTGGTGCATGACTTTCAGAGGGTGGATGGGTGCAATCCTGATTGGCGTGTCCCTAGAAGTGAAACCCCTGGGTCAGAGGGGATACATCTGCCAATCAGTTTGCTGGAGGCTTTTCAGTGTGTTGAGCAGTGGGGTAGGGGAGTGAAATGGAGGGTTGGGCATTTTTTAAGTGATTTATCTCGTTTCTGGCCATCGACTGGAAATAAAACATGACATTTGGACCCTGTGGAAGGCCGAGTCATCAAGGCATGGCAGGAGCTTATTTATGGGGTTTTGTTGAACATCCCACCTTTCTTTAATTTCTGCAGGATATCCTCTTCCTGTGAAGTGAGCTGAAAGAGCAAACCGTGAGGGCATCATGGTGTCACTGTTAGAACTATGAGGCAATGCTGTCAGCTAAGAACAGTGGGGCCGGTGCAGAAACTATCACTGAGGGAAGCGTGCGGGCATGGCACGAGCGCCTCCCAACAGCCCCAGAATCCGCCATGGATGATCAAGTGGATCATCCACTCACTCACTCGCCGAACGCTGACTGAGCACTCTGTGCGTGGCCAGCTATGTGCTGGGCACTGGGGACAAAGTAGCATACAAGGCTGGCCAGGTCTCTGCCCTCTCTGAGTTTACCTTCTCCTGGGGATATAAACACGAACATGAGCAAATTAAAAAGAAGATTTTCAGGCTAGGCACGGTGGCTCACACCTGTAATCCCAGCACTTTGGGAGGCTGAGGTGGGTGGATCACCGAAGGTCAGGAGTTCGAGAC